CCCCCTCGCCACCTCAGGGGGACTCGAATACACCTGTACCCCCTTCCAGCAGGTCCTGAAAACCCCCCAGACCTAACTCCCTCCTTCCTTTCCCCCCCTCCCATATTGGAAGCAGCTCAAGGCTGGCAGGCAGTGCAGACAGAAGTTACAGAAGACGCTCTATTTTGAAACAGGGTCAGCTTTTCCTTTGATTGGCCACTTTTGAAGCTGTCTACAGCTGTGTACTTGTTTGGTCACTGCTATAAACTGCTTTCTGTGGCCAGAGTGGGTGAAAATTGTCACTTCTGTCTGTGCCCCTTATTAGTGCTAGAAACAAGTGCTGCTCTAATCTTCCAGAAGACAGTCTCTTGGGGCATTTATACACATGCCTTTGCCTGCTTTGATGTGCTGAAAATCCAACACGCTGGAGCAGACTCAAATGAGTCTGCAGAGCATGCAGACTGATGTGCCCAGTTCTGCATTGCATGCATTTGTATAAACAGCAAAATGTGTGTCAGCTCTAAGAAAATGGTGGTTCACTTTGAAATTAAAACACCTTTGTGTGTTAGTCCAAAAGCGCACTGCTGCCCTCTTCTAAGCACTGATGCCCACTTCACCGTTTATACAAATGCATGTGATGCAGCCCTGAATGCTTTTAAAGGTGCCTGGAGCTGCATTGCCCTTGATTTCCAATTAATAATTTGGGGCATTTATGGCTCAGATGGATCCTGTTTTTTGGATGCTATATTTCTGTATGGCACCCTAATTGCTTGTTTTAGCAAAGCCCTATGCATGCAGAGCTGATTATCTTGCAAACAGTATTATATATTAATATTTGCACAGCCACATGGCATCCTGGGGATTCCCACAATCAAAAGCTTGCAGCTCCCATACAGCCTTTTTAATTAACTTAATTCTGACATTGGTGTGACAGGGAATTTCTCTCGAGAAATTCATTTATCACCACTTAGCCAAGGAGCTTTTTTCTTTTCATTTGCATCCAGAATTTCATCATTTAGGAAATGAAAATTGTACATTTCCTTTTAGACTGAGAAATTTATCTGCTCAGGAGAGATGATTTATTATGTATAGGAGAAAATGTTTCTTGCTCTTTTTTCAAGAAGTACGGTGTTTATATATAGTCTTCCTTTGTCCTAGAGGGTAGGAAACCTTGATTTTCTATCAAGTTCCTTAACTTTACAGATAATGTAGGTCATGTAATGCTGTCAGCCCTTCAGAAGCCATAGTAAGTTGTGCTATATGGATATTGAACCATGAACCAGAGAGGGAAAGCTATCTGTGTTAGTGAGGTAAAGTATCAGGACTACTAAAATTAGGAGACCTCTTTGGTGTGCAGTAGGTCCATTCCAGAAAGTCTTCTCTGCCAAATAGCAAAAGCTCTGAACAGCCTTTCACTAAAAGTACTAGGGACAAGAAACCTAACTATTTTCAGAATGGAGTTTGGTAAAAAGCATTTGTTCATTTGGTTCACTTAGTTACGAAGATGCAGAACTCTACACGTGTGTGTTACTGTTGGGCCTTACATTTTTTTTTTTTTTTTTGTCTCTTAGGTGAAGGAATGGTTATGTCTGAACTGCCAGATGCAGAGAGCTTTAGGGATGGACATGACCACAGCACCTCGCTCCAAAAGCCAGCAGCAGCTACAGTCCCCTTCACTTTCTCCATCCCATTCCCCAGCCAAACAGCCCCAACCTCAACCCCAGGTAAAGACAGGACAAGAGAAACTACCAGGAACTGTGCTGCCAGGCACCAGGCAGAGTGCTGGTGTACTGCAGCCAGATGCACCAAAACCACACCCAGCTACAGTGCAGAGGGAACAACACAGCCAAGGCCAGCCAAAACCTGCTGCTCCTCAGGAAGTGGTGAGATCTCCACCTCAACATCAGCAAGCAAAACCTTCTTCCTCTGACCAGAAAAAAAGTATGGGAGACTCCCCAGCAAAGACTTCAGCACCGCCCCCCAGTGCTGGAGCACAAGAGCAAACCCAAGAGGGACTCACTGGAAAGCTTTTTGGGCTTGGAGCTTCTCTCTTGACCCAGGCAAGCACACTTATGTCTGTCCAGCCAGAGGCCACCCCACAAAGTCAGCAGTCCCCTGGCAAAGTGCCTCCAAAAATTGTCTTCAGTGATGCCAGCAAGGAAGCTGGCCTTAAAGCCCCAGGTGCTACACCTGGAGCACAGGGTAGGGCTGGGACTGCTTCAGCTACAAAGCAAGGAAAAGCAGAACAAGCCTTCAAGCCAAAGGAAGTGCCGAAAGAAAGGGTCTTGTGCCCTCTGTGCAAAGCAGAGATCAATGTGGGCTCTGGTGGACCCTGCAACTATAATACTTGTACAACCTGTAGACAGCAGGTCTGTAACATGTGTGGATTCAATCCAACACCTCATCTGGTGGAGGTAAGGAGAGTGTTTATTGGGCTTGAGTTTCTGTTAGAGTAATAAAAATCCTTATTCTGTTTTGAGATTCTGACATTAAGAAAATGGGAAAAGTCAATGCTTTTTACTTTTAGCTTTTAAGAAAATTCCTTCACAAGAGATTATTTAAGAAACTGGAAACGGGGACCATGGAGGGAGAAGACTCTCTTTTTAATGGATTAGAAATTAGCCAAAAGGCAGATACAGAAAATAGAAATGAATGGTCAGTTTTCGTTATGATTAAAGGTTAACAGCGGTGGTATAAGATTCCTTAATAGTTCATATGTTTGTTTAATACACTTGTTAATAATCTGGGGAAGCAATATAAAGTAGTTGAGGAAATTGTGATTAGGTTATACTGGTCAGGCATGGAAGTGGCAGTGCCCATGTCTACACATGCACTCTACTGTGGAGTAGACTAATTAGCTGTGGAGTACAGCATCGCCATCTACATGTGTGACCAGCATTAGGTAGCAGTAAACTAATTTACACTGACGTAAGATGCTACTGTCAGGAACAGTACTATCTTATGCCAGGTAATTTGCTGTGGTTAAACACGTGTAGATGCTGACCAGGGGTGTAAAGTGTGCCTGGTTAGCACAGGCAGTCAGGGACCAGACTCCTGCCTGCCGCCTAGCCACACATCTCCACGCTTTTGGCACCTTATGCTTCAGCCATCTCCTCTGCTGCCTGACACCACCATCCAGAACCTGGGACTGACCCTCTGTGTCTCCTGCCAGCCCAGGCCTGCTCTGCCCCTGCTGAAATTTGCTGCTCTCCTGGGTGCACGTGTATAGGCTCTGTGCCTAGGAGTAGTTTACTCTGGCTCAAACTGCTCCAGAGGTTATAGCTTCACATTAATTGCATGTGTAGATGCACCCAGTCTCACTAAAGACTGTGACTTTTTGTGGCACTCCATTTCTCACTGATTAGGTGACAAGTGGGAAGAAAGGGTAATCTTCCTTGGATGGTAACGTGCGGGGTGCGAGCCAGGCTGTGGCCATAGCCCCAGGGTTCTGATCCCCTGATGTTAGTTTAGCAAGAGGGAGAGGTGGACTTGTAACGGTTGCAAAAGTACTTTCTTTTATTTAGTCCCTTTTTACATGCACTCCACTGATATAGATGTGGCTGCGCAGGCAGTTACACTTGGTTGCACACGACACTCAATCCTGAACTGACGACAGACAACGTTTCTTACTTGTACACCACTGGTGTAAATGTGGCTGCAGGGCGGATTCCGTCCTAATCCAGGCAAGAGATGAAAGGAAGAAAATAACAAACTCGTTGGATCCACGTTTGGGTGAGGCTGGGGAAATGATCGAGCATCCGTCCCGTTCGCTGGAACAAATGCGCAAAAAAACTCGACGGTTCTCGGGAAAACAAAGCAGTGGACGCCTCGAACTAAAAGAAAACCGATCGGCAAATTGTTCTCCGGAGACAGGAGAAGCCGTGGGAAGTTGGCCAGGCCTTCCCAGCGAGC